CGTGTCCCTCACCGACCTCCAGTCAGTGGTCACCCCTGAGCTCCCCGGGTTGGCTCGGGGGGCACGTGTGCACTCGGCAGGCTCACGTGTGTGTGAGGCGGGTCTCGGGGACTGACTGGTGTCACTCCTGACCACACCACATGTCAGGCGCCCGAAGCCCAGAGGTGGAGGGGACACAGCACCTACCTCGGTGGCCGGGTCGTAGTGGGCGGTCGTCCGCACGGCCTTGGTGTTACTGCCGTGGCTGAGCTCGGTCAGCGCGAAACAGCCGAAGATCTAGTGTGAGGGCGGACACCACGTCAGGTGGGACCCCTTCGCGGTCCCTGAAGGGGCCTGCCCAACGCTCCGTGAGGACGAAGATGGAAGCCCCATCTCCTCTGCCATCTAACCGACCGGTGACCGCACCACATCCCTCTGCTGTGCCGGCCGCCACGCCGCCCAGACGTGCCAACAGCGGGCCTGGTGGCAGAGCCGCGCCCGGGCAGCACAAGGAAACGGGGCTTTGCTTTGATAAGAAAAAGCTCGCTCCAGCCAGTTCAGCTCAGTGGATAGAGCACTGGCCCTCGGACTGAAGGGTCCGGGGTTCGATTCTGGCTCAGGATGGGTAGCTGGGTTGCAGGCTCGATGGGGCACATGCAGGAGGCAACCAATCGGTGTCTCTCTCTGTCTCTCCCTGTCCCTTCCACTCTCTCTAAAAATCCATGTAAAACTACCCTCTGGTGAGGATTAACAAAACAACAACAAGAAAAAGCTAAATTTATTCAGTGCTGGGACTTGGTGGACTACATCTGTCAAGAGCAGCATTAACTGAGAACAAGATCCCCATCATTGAGGCGAGAGTCCCCACCCCCGGCCCCACCGGCAGCCCTTCCACACACCCCAGAGAACAGGTGAGAGATCGCGGCTCACAACACCCCCGCCCCCAAACTTACCTCCATGGTGAAGATCTTGGGAATGTATTTGAAATGCCTTTCAGAACCAGAGTTGAAAATCGCTGATCCAAACACCTGAAAATATAACATCGCTCCATTAACAGGTGGAAGGTAGTGAATACCACCGTCCTGGCCGCCCCCACCCACCCCGCAGCCCTGACAGCTAACTGCCATCACACCAGGCTCCGGGGGAGACCTGGGCCCCGTCCCAAGCAGTCTGTGTAGGTGCAACAGTCTCCCGGGACTTTCATGCCTGCAGGACACCCGCGGGACTGTGACGAACGAGGGACAGGACAGGAGGGCGGAGAGGAGGGTGCGTGAGGGCAAAGCAGGCAGACCACGTGACTCGCCAAGTGGTGTTTGTTCATTTTGTTTTCATATTTTGGGTTGTTTGGTGGTGGCTGGTTTCTGCTTGTTGTGTGAGTGTGTGTGTGTGTGTATGTGTGTGAGTGTGTATGAGTGTGTGTGTGTGAATGTGTGTGTGAGTGTGCGTGAGTGTGTGTGTATGTGTGTGTGTATGTGTGTGAGTGTGTATGAGTGTGTGTGTGTGAATGTGTGTGTGAGTGTGCGTGAGTGTGTGTGTATGTGTGTGTGTATGTGTGTGAGTGTGTATGAGTGTGTGTGTGTGAATGTGTGTGTGAGTGTGCGTGAGTGTGTGTGTATGTGTGTGTGTATGTGTGTGAGTGTGTATGAGTGTGTGTGTGTGAATGTGTGTGTGAGTGTGCGTGAGTGTGTGTGTATGTGTGTGTGTATGTGTGTGAGTGTGTATGAGTGTGTGTGTGTGAATGTGTGTGTGAGTGTGCGTGAGTGTGTGTGTATGTGTGTGTGTATGTGTGTGAGTGTGTATGAGTGTGTGTGTGTGAATGTGTGTGTGAGTGTGCGTGAGTGTGTGTGTATGTGTGTGTGTATGTGTGTGAGTGTGTATGAGTGTGTGTGTGTGAATGTGTGTGTGAGTGTGCGTGAGTGTGTGTGTATGTGTGTGTGTATGTGTGTGAGTGTGTATGAGTGTGTGTGTGTGAATGTGTGTGTGAGTGTGCGTGAGTGTGTGTGTATGTGTGTGTGTATGTGTGTGAGTGTGTATGAGTGTGTGTGTGTGAATGTGTGTGTGAGTGTGCGTGAGTGTGTGTGTATGTGTGTGTGTATGTGTGTGAGTGTGTATGAGTGTGTGTGTGTGAATGTGTGTGTGAGTGTGTGTGTGAGTGAGTGTGTGTGTGAGTGTGTGTGTGTGTAGCCAAAAAGTCCCACAGCTGCTCTTCCCCTGGGGCTTTGGCCTCCGGGGAACTGGGTGGTCTCAAGGACTCTGTGCGAGTTCACGGAAAGGTAAAACATCGGACTCCTGGCCAAGCAGAGAACATCTGCCCGCACACTCCCACCTCCGCTTGTTTCCTGCGTGAGTCTTAGAAATCTCTAAGCAAGAGCCCCCCGAGTGCCTAAATCCCAGGAAACTTTGACGCCAGTAAACACTGACACCCCCACCACCCAGGCCAGCGTCGACACCCCACACGCGGCAGCCCAGTTCCTGCGACGAGCGTCCCGCGTGGCCCTGTCCCTGGGCCACCTCGCGCCCCCCTCTCCGTGCGCCTACTCACAAACACGTGCAGGAAGGCCTTGGTGGCCAGGGACCAGTCG